ACCTCTTTGGCCTCTGCTCATATGCACCTTTGCAGTGACAACTACTCTGGCCCCTTATTTAAAATCATCACAACCTGACCCTGCTCTATTCTTTTTTACATTTTCCTATAACCATTATAGCCTTCTAGCATCAGCCTTTCTATATAACATCTTTCTACGTTTTGTACAATATGTTTTTAGTTTGCTTCTCAAGTTCTATGAAGGCAGGGATTGACTTTATCTTTTTTTTAATTAATTAATTTATTTGTTCTAATTAGTCCTTAATCTTTTTTGTTCATTTGATTTATTCCAAGGACCAAGGGCAGTGCCTCGTGCCTAGAAGTTCAGTGAATGACTGGAGAATCAATGTATGCATTCCCTTCTTTACAAGACTACGTTGGGTCTTTACTGTGATATAACACAACGAACAGATTTCTACCTTTTTGGAATCTGACATCTTCTGACAAGAGGCTACTTCTTACTGGCATCACTGCTCCTACTTCTGAATAATCCCTTCCTTCATTCTAGATTGCAACCTGGGATCTGTGTGGGCTGGTGAAACCAAATAACATGTGTTAAGAACCATGTGTCAAACGGACTCCAAAAAAGCACCCTGTGTGCTTGCTTTGGCAGCACATATACTAAAATTGGAACAATACAGAGATTAGCATGGCCCCTGAACAGGATGATAAGCAAATTCGTGAAGCATTCCATATTTCTGATAAGAAGAGAAAGGGCCAAGTGATCCAGTTCTAAGCTTCATTGTTTTGTTTGTTTTGTTATGAAGATAATAAAATGTTGAGGTTATCTTCAAAAACAAAACAAAACAAACAAAAAAACCATCCTGTTCCCTCAGAAAAGTACATGCTTCTAGGGCTAGGACTTTGTGGGGGCAAATTCTCTTCCCCTCTCACTGTGGGCTCCTGAAGTCCTCTGTGCTGATGGCTGATCTAACAGTTAATAGAACAAAATGCAACATCTCTCTAGTCAGGCAATAAAACAGAGAAGAAACTTGGTGTACCTAAGTATGAAATGAATACAGTTCAGCTTCTCAATGACGTTTGCAAAGGCAAAGAATGACTGTAACAGGAAGACAAGGGCTGTAAATCACAGCTGCCTCATGGGACAGCAGCCACTCTGTAGAAACTGAACTGAATGCCTGTCTGGAACTAACTATACTGACCACACAGGGGTCAAACAAAAGTTGTTATACACTAGTGTTGCCCAAATATATATACTCCTGTTTCTTAAAATCTTATCAGTCATACTACAAATACTTCATATACTTGCCCTGAAAATATCAAACCTGGCTAAGTCTGATAGTAAATGAAAGCTCATCTCTCATTCAGAAACAAGAAACTGACGGTACCTGGTTCACCTCCTGAACTGAGCTGCCCCAGCTCCTTCTCAGCATGAGGAGTAAACCGCACTTGTAAAGGGGCCACAGGGGCCTCTCTCACCCAGGCAGGAACCACACTGTGGGGAGCTCTATCAGCCTTCCTGGCCCCACAGAGAGGAGGCGCAGGCTGCATATCCACACTGCTCCCTTGCAGAACCGCTGCTCCTTCCACTGCTCCTTCCACTGCTCCTTCTGCTGCTCCTTCCTCACTCCTTGGCCCCTCATCTGTACCTTCCTCTGGACAGCTATTTTCCAGGCCACACAGGACAATCTGTTCTTCGGCCACACTAGGACTCTGATCATTTCTTGATTCCAAACCAAAATCCGTTGCTCTTTCTCTGTGCGTAGGCAAAGTCTGCTGGCCTTCCCCTGTGCTGTCACATCTCGGGTAGCTTTCTTTGGAAGTTCTGTCTTCAGGACATGTAGGTTTCTCCTCAGTGCTGCAATGGGGCTGAGAGTCACTGTACCCTGAGAGCTGTCGCTGGTCATAGCTGTCATTCTTGCCTTCACACTGGAACACAGTTTTTGGCTTAGGTTGGTTATTCTGTAAATTAAAGTCCACTAAAGGCTCCATCAAATTCTGTGGCGAGTCATAATCAGCTATGTAGGGCTTTATGTCCAGTA